GATCAAGCAAGACCCCCCTGAAGCAGTGACCCAACTGATCCTACACCCAAAACAGCTGAGACAATGCAGTCTTACAGACTACAAAAACAAGGACTATGGCCAGATTTCTGTGTTTTAGCATGATCCCCATGGTATGGACATCGCCCCCAACCCACAGGAAGCAGTTTGGAATGAACGACACCCAAATTCCCAAATATTGTTTATAAATGTTTGTTTTCATTTAAATGGGGTGGGTTATAAATGGTAATGATCACAGTAATCTCTTTTTAAAGGAAAAAAGGGGGAATAGGATATGGAGATGAATACTTTACATTGGTATGAATTTTCATTTATTGATACAAATTTAAAGTCAATTTTGTGATATGTATATTTTCCCTCTTTTTAAGTATTGTGTTATATAGATCTTTCAAAATGTATTGCATAATTAAATACAGATTATATAGTCACCTATAATAGTCAGAACCTATAATTAGGTTAGTTATGTTTTCTAGATATATAGAGATGTATTTGAGATGGATATTCTTGAAACCTTTCAAAGACCTAAAGAATATACAGCATTTAAATGGTTTAGAGTTTTACTTGGCAGTGAGACATAACTGCTACTGGCACACCAATTACATCTGAGAGGAAGATGGGCATTGAAGAAACTTGTTATGGAGTTTACTTTCAACATGGCAAGATTAACCATTTGGGCAAGAAACTGCTCTTGCCTGGACTGTTTGTTGCTGTATAAAGTAGACATTCAGGACCCAGAAGAAAGTGACTGCTGAACTTACAAAACAAGATGAATAGTCCTGAAGGGTTCTTTCTGATATAGAGAAGTCTGCCAGACACACTGTGTCCTATGGGATGAAGACGGATGCCCCAACTTTACAGAGGAACTTTGGGTGACTGTCAGGTAGCAAGATATCTCTGTCAATCCTTCTGTGGTCTTTGATGGAGTTGAAGACAGATAGTTATGGTTATAGTTTTATTCAGTTATTATAAAAGAAAAGTTACCCTTTTTTTTTATTTAGACAGAAAAGAGGAGATGATGGGGAATGTCCTTCAGTGTGTATGTCTATCTTATAGGTTGTTGAATAAAGTACTGTTGGCCAATGAGGCAGCAACTTAGGCAGGACTAGGAGTCAAGGAGGATTGTGGGAAATGCAGTAAAAAGAAGTCTTGTAATACAGGCAGGAAGTGACATAACAGGCAGACTCATATATAAGCAGGGACCAACAGGAAGTTGACATTTTTCTCTTGCTCTTCCTTCTACTCTCTTTTCTGCCGTGACCATGTGACCACCAGGAAGACAGGACTCATTCCACCTGTGTCTTCCATAAGATAAGTATTATGATTATGGTTGATAATTAAGACTGAGCTAGCATATAAAAATCCTAGTCAATGGGTCAACAGCATTGTAAACTAATATAAGACTCTGTGTGTTATTCTGGGCACCCGTGTATCTGCGGGTCTCAGGTGGATGGTGTTAAGATTTATTATAACAACCTGACCCATCCTAAGCACAACACACAAACAGTGTATACCACATGTACACTGAGCATGAGTCTGAGATGTCCCCTGTCTCCATCACCCTGATTCTCTCTAGGCAGGTGTTCCTCCAGTCCATTCTAACCCAAGGCTATGTGTTATGAAACCAAGGGGACTGAGTGTCCTAGCTCTAGCCATCTGTATTTATGCAATTGTAGCCGGGATGAGAGACACAGTACTCACAGGTAATGTTCAGAGTGAATGGGTCACTCAGGGAGTTGCTCCCTAGGTTCCGGGTTTCACACTCATAGGGGTTCTGTGTCAGTTCTCAGAAAACTGAATAAAGTGAGAGTTCTGTTGACCTCCAAAAAAAAAGAAGAAGAAAAAAAGAAACAAATCACAAGAGGAGAAGATAGAATTCTCATCTAAGCCATAGACATATACAACCGTCCATGATCCATATGCATGAACTACACACGCTTATGCCAACTTATATTTTCCCACATGAATGATGAATAATAAAGCCCACAAAGTGAATGGTTGGAGGAAAGATTGTCAGTAAAATACAGCTCGGGGCTTATTGGAATGGGAGGAATGTAATTTGTGTGTGAAAGGGTATGAAGGGTGTGTGTGTGTGTGTGTGTGTGTGTGTGTGTGTGTGTGTGTGTGGTGTGGGGGAGCAGGGCAGAAAGCTACAGTTTGAATGTCATCTCTGATAGCCATGTTCAAATTTAAACGTCCTTATGAAAATGTGAAGAAGTGAGATCTTCAGTGTGTGATAAGGTCATAAAGCTTTTGCATTTATGTTACGGGTTGATTACGAATGTTGCCCCAAACATGTGCTTGAACATCTGGCACACAGCAGGCAACTCTGTTTTCTTTTTTTTGAATTAGGGAATCCGTAAGGGATGAATGAGGCCTGTCTGGTAGAAATAGGTCACTCACAATGGACTATCGATAGATTCTATGATGGCTTATACCTGGGCCTGGTTCCAGCTTGTCTCTTTCTCTCTTCTTTCCAATCTGCCACTGTGATGTGGCCAGCCATGAGCTCCCCTATCAAGCCTGGAGCCCCAGCTGACAAGGATTCCAGCTTTTGAGTAACAGGGTCATGTTTGTCCTACCAACCCAATTCTGGAACCATTTTTCTGCATCCATTGCTTTTCTTGTCGCTGTGGCCAAATTCCTGCTTCAAAGCAACTGAGAGGAAAGATTTCTTACTGTTAGTCTCATGGCAGGTTAAGGGAGACACTTGGGGCTTTGGTCTAACCATCTCGGCTTTTGTTTGTTCTTATATGTGGCAGATAGAAGAAGGCAGAAGATAAAGAGGTTGAATAGGACACACACACACACACACACACACACACACACACACACAGAGGAGAGAGAGAGAGAGAGAGAGAGAGAGAGAGAGAGAGAGAAGCACGACAACCTCCTTCTTTCTTGCAAGCCTTACCTCTTAGGGTGTCCTGCCATCTCCCCAAATGGTGTTATCAGTTAGGTACAAAATGTTGACATGTGAACCCATGGCAATGATTTCACATTGAAAAATTAACACTTTGGGAATGGATCCATGATGGGGAATGTACTGTGTATGTTTATCTTATTGATTGTTAAATAAAATACTGTTTGGCCAATGAGACAACAAGTAGACGGGACTAGGAGTCAAAGAGAATTCTGGGAAATGTAGTAGAGAAGTGCTGATCCAGGCAGGAAGTGACATAGCAAGGAGACTCATATTTAAGCAAAGGAGAAACAGGAAGGGCCTCCCTTTTCCCCTCAGCTCCTGCTCCAGCGGCACAATGTGATCCACCAGCAAGGAGGGACGCCAATAAGGCGTCCGATAAGATAAGTCTTATAAAATATATAGACTTATGGTAATTAAGACTGAGCTAGCAGATGAGGAATCCTAGTCATTGGCCAAGCAGCTTTGAACCTAATACAAGTTTCTGTGTATTCATTTGGGCCTAACTGGGGCGGGCGGCTGGCATAAAGCTCACACATGTTGGTGGGGCTCAGGCACCTTTGGTGGAAAGATTTATCATAATAGATCTGAGTCATCACTGAAGTGGTAGATTAGCTAAGACAGTCTAGTTTCCTTTTGAACTTTCTCCTTCAGTCTTAGACGGTTCAGCTGCTGACCCCTGTGTCACGTTACAGTGCAGCGGGAAAGGCCTCAGGAGACACCAGGGCTGTGTTCTGGGAAATATCTGCTTCCAGAACCACACTTTCTATTCATATAATGACTGGGTTTCCAGTATCCCGCTACAGCAGAACACAGACTAATACAGTCTTGGCATCTTGCAGCATAGAGTCTAACTGGGGCACGGGATGGGACAGGACGGAACAGAGACGCTGTCAGAGAGAGAGAGAGCAAGATCGAGGGTCAGAGAACTTCATGTTCTGTGACGACAGCCAGGACAGAATCATCTGTCATTAGTCACAAAGATCAGAGACTATTTTAGTTGGCGTTTCTATCTCTGTGAGAAAACACCAGGATCCAAAGCAGCTTGGGGAGGAAAGGGTTATTTTGCTTGCATTCAACTTTACAGTTCATCATCTGTGGGAATCTGTCTTTGTGGGGCTGTAGTTGGAGCCAGCCGTCTTGCCACAGTTCATACCTGAGAGGGGGAGCGTGGTCTAACGAAAGCAGATTTAAGAGAAAAGACGGAGACACAGGAATATTGCCAGGAGGGGAAATTCAGTCCACACTGAACGCCCTTAGTTTATTCTTTAACATTCATAAGTGTCCCACCAAAAGTGGGGACAATGACAGAAGACTTCTAGTATCATGTGTAGGGGGCAAACAGAGGTACTTCCCTTAATCCTCTAGGTATTTGTTAGCCATACCTTCTAACCTGCCTTCAGGGACAAGAGTAAACAAACCTGAACCCAAGTAAGTTGTTATTTAGATAAAGACATCTGCTACCAAGGCTGAAACATCCTGCATTCTCAGAGCTATAGACTTATAGGTATGAGGACAGTTTTGAACTCTCTGATCTTAAGGCAAGATGAAATGGACCCCTCTTTATGGTCCCTGACAATCATCTAGGGAAGTAAGGGTAGGAACCTAGAGGCTGGAACTGATGCAGAGGCCAGAGAGGGTGCTACTTACTGGCTTGTTCCTCATGGCTTGCACAGTCCACTTTCTTATAGAACCCAGAACCACAAACCCAGGGATGGCAGCACCTCCAGTGGACTGAACTCTACCAATCATTATTAATCACTAATTAAAAATTGCCCTGCAGTGTGATTTTATGCATGCAATTTCTCAGCTGATATTCTTCCTCTCAAATGACCTTAGCTTGTAACAAGTGGACATAAAAGCTAGCCAGCACAGACACCCAGAGGTTCCAACTGCTCCTCTGCCAGGATTCAGCCTCTCTCTCCTCCTGGCTCCAGAGCCGCTGCAATCCTGAATTTCTTGCTTCTCCTTTACTCTCTTCTTTTTCTTCCATCTGTGACTGTCAGGGCCCCAAGAGTGCAAAGGGGACTCTGGAGAAATTGCCTTTGCAGACACAGAAGAATGTGGGTTGGGGACTGCATAGACACACGGAGACACACAGGCAACAAACACTCTTCTTGTCAGTTAAATGTAATCACATTCACATATGAAGCTAAGAACATAACGAAGGGCCTCCACAATTGAAGATTATACATGCAAGAGTAGACTAGCTAACATATTTAGGCTCAAACTCAGAAACACACCTGCGCATTCATATTAGAAATGACCTTTCACAAAGGAAAGGCATACAGTGCACACACTAAGGTCAATAATCAGATAAATCTGAGCTGGCATGTTTACACTCAACACAGAAAGTGAGATGCATTACTCCCAATGTCCTTATGTCCTGTGTATCAGTTTCACGGTGTCCCTGCCAACATCTGGGGTGGGGGTGAGGGGAAAGGGAGTGAACAGGTCACCAGCAGCCCACACAGGAAGTGTAGGTGCTCACCCTCCTGAATACTGATGACAGAGGAGGCAGGAACAGTTGAAGTTGCGTAACTGCGTGGAGAGCATGGTGAGCATAAATGGTCCTGCTGGAGTGTAAAGTGACGATGTTCAGACGATGACAATGGAAGCCAGTGTCCTGCTCTTTCTCACTCTCCTCCTGGGCTTTGTAGTGCTCCTGCTCAGAGGCCACTCAAAGGCCCGTGGCCACCTCCCACCAGGACCCCGTCCTCTGCCCTTCTTGGGGAACCTCCTGCAGATGGACAGAAGAGGCCTCCTCAACTCCTTCATGCGGGTGAGACTTCCATGGGGCCTTGGGTTGGGCTTCCCCTGCTTATGTCTATGGAGATCTCTCATCAGCAAGAGCAAGGGACTCCTCCAGGCCCTCGGTTCAGGTGAGATGCTGCTTGCTGATGGATGGTGCTCAGATTGACAGGCTGGTCCTCGCTATGCTGCAATTGTGTGGGGCACTCTGCTTGGAGTGTGAAAGGTGTCAAGATGGTGAGGTGTAAGTGTGTAGAATTTCACTCCAAGGAGCCTGTCTGTTCCAGAAAAGAAATGAAACTGTCAGAGGCATCAACAACATGTTTTGCTCCTATCAACAAAAGAGAGAGCAAAGATTAGCTTGAGGTATTCAGGGACAAAGGGGAGAGGCAGGCAGGGCAGGAGGAGGGGTGAGTAGGGAGTGCCTATCAGTTTCTTCCAGCAGCTAGTGTTGTATTCTCCAGACATTGCATTGATGCTTCACACTTGGGATTTAATGATAAATTACCACTTATTCATTAATAACTAACCAGCATCTGCATCCATGGTCCTTCCTTCCATGAGATAGCTGAAGCAGTGGCTGTAAGTCCCACTCCTCTGTCTCTCTCTGTATTTGTGGAGATCTCTCTCTTGAACCTTGTATTGATAACCTCCTGGCTTTCGTAAGTTTCCACTCCCCAATTGTTGACCAATTTAGTTATTTTAATTTACATTTTGGGCCAGGGTCTCCCTGGGATTTTTAGGTTGGCTTCCAACCTAAATGAATTAACCATACCTGATAGAAAAATACATGGTTTTTATCTGGGGAAAGAACTTACACAGAAAACAGTTGACTGACTGTTGTGGCATGCCTGCTCCAAGGATTTAGGCCCTACATCCCAGATGGTCTCCTTGACCCGAAGGGGCCTTTGGCGCCCTGATCATTTCCCTTTGGCCAGGCATGTCCACATCTGTAACCTCACCCAATACCTATGTTAATCTATAGAAGGTGAAAACTTGATACAAAACTACAGACAATGATAGCAAATCTCAAATATGCTCTAGGAGAAGGAAATGTAAAAACACACACAACTTAAGACCTACTGCCAGTGAAGCAACCAAGAGCAATTGGCAAGAACTACATGTCCAGTAGCAGAGTAAAGGCATAACAGAGATGCCTTTAGGACATCAGAAGTTGTCCTAAACTGGAAAGTTAAGTCTTGGACCTAATATTTCTATCTAAGAAGAGAGGACAATTACTGTGACAGTCTAATCTTTAACATCATCAAAGACCTGGGAAGGAAGATAAAAATACTAGTGTATGCAGGAAGTGCAGACTAGCGACTTCCAACAGGTACCAGCGAAGACAGAAACAGCAGACTACCTGGACAGTCATCCAAAGTCTCACAGCAGCATAGGGGCAACCAGTTTTGGCTAAGGCCTAGAGTGTCTGTCAGACCAACACGGAAGCAGAGAAGTTGAAAGACTGTCTTACCCTGACTTGGCAGGGTTTAGCAGTCTTCTAAGTTTATCTCCTCCAAGCACAGTAGGACAGCATGTCCAATGTCAGCAGTCATGGTGGGGACAGTTCTTTGCCCAAGAGGCTAGTAGCTGAGGAGAGAATGAACTCCAGAAGGAGTGACATCAGCACCCATCACACTCTCAGAAAAGATCGGTGCTGTGAGGAGCAATTGTGCCTCATGTCAATGGAGAACTAATATTAAAACATTTAAATGCCATATTCTGCAGGTTTTGAAGTGTTTGAAGATCAAATATCTATGTCTGACTAACCTCATCGGCATAAGAAACATGGGTAAAAGCTTTTTCAGCATCCAGTGAGATGATCATACGTTTTTTCTTTCTCAGTCTGTTTATATGGTGGATTACATTGATATATTTTCACATGTTGAATGCATCCCTGGGATGAAGCCTACTTGATCATGGTGGATGATTTCTCTGATGTGTTCTTGAATTCGATTTGCCAGTATTTTAATGAGTATTTTTGCATCAATGTTCATGAGGGATATTGGTCTGTAATTCTCTTTCTTAGTTGTGTCTCTGTGTGGCTTGGGTACCAAGGTTATTGAAGCCTCTTAAAAGTTATTGAAGCCTCGTAAAAACAGTTTGGCAATGACCCTTCTGCTTCTATTGTGTGGAATACTATTGTGAGGAAAATGGTATTAGCTGTTCCTTGAATTTCTGAGAGGATTCTGCACTGAAGCCATCTGGCTTTTTATACCTTAAAATGATTTCTTTTAATTTTCTGTGTAAATGTGTTTTGCCTGCCTGCATGCATGCAAAGATATTGTCACCATTACTTTTAAAGTAGACCAGTGTTGTTCCTTTTAAACCATGTTACTTGTGTCTCAGTCACAGTTCTGTTGCTCTGAAGAGACACCATAAACAAGGCAGCTCTTATAAGAAAGCATTTAGTTGGAGACTTGATTATAGTCTCTAATGTTATTGTTGTTGTTATGTTAGGAGCATGACAGCAGGAACAGTAGGTACTGGAACAGTAGCTGACAGCCACATCCTGTTCCTTAGGCAGAGAGAGAAACTCTGGTCTTATCACGGGCTTTTGCAATCTGAAAATCCAGTGAGACACTTGCCCCAACAAGGCCCTGCCTCAAATCCTTCTAATGTTTTCAAATTGTGCCAATCTCTGTTGACCAAGCATTCAAACGCATGGACCTATGTGAGTCAATCTTATCCAAACTTCCACACTCAGTGCCATCTGCCCCCCCTGGCAGGATCACACCCTTCCTGATAGGAGAAACATCACTTCATGGTGGTTGTCACCCAGTGCTATTCCCTTTGAGCCGCCCAGTAGCACCATGTTCTTTGATATGGAAATGGAGCCTAATTTGCAAAATTATTAACAGAAACATGTTCTCAGATGTCTGTACTGAAGCAAGCCTAAAGTATTAGTATGTTGAAGGTACAGGTGTTTCTTACAGTTTCTAACACGTCTGTTTCGTTTACTACTTACCACCAAGTCATTTTAGAGTCAGCACTGCTTTAGCTAAGCCCTACCTTGTATGGAGAGGTTTGTTGAATGAAAGTTTCTTCCCTGCCAGCCTGGTCCCACAACTGCTTCAGCCACAAATAAGCACCCAGAGACTTATATATTTATGAAACTGTGGGCAGTAGGTTAAGTCTTCTTATTGGCCATCTCTGTGTTATGTTACCAGAGAAGGGTCTGAACCCCTAACTCCTTTTGCGACTCACATTGTGATTGCTAAGCTACTCTGCGTAGAAGAGAGCAATTTCCAGTTAGTTCCTGCTCTATATCCTGTATCTGCCCAGTTACGTCACTTCCTGTCTGTATGTATAGACCTCCAGACATCTATGATTAGCTAGTGGCAAGTTTCTACCCAGTTATGTCACCTCCTGTGTGTCCAATCAGCCAATTGGTGTTTTATTCATTAACCAATAAAGGGAGCAAACATACAGAAAGACTTCCCCCATCACTACCTTGTGCAAATTAGTATTTCCTAAGCAAGTTTGTTTCTGCTGACTCCATTGTAGCTGCAATTCATTACTCTCAGTTTTATTGTATCACACCTATGACTTGTTTATTTCTTTGAGACAAGGTTTCATGCAGACACAGCCTGACCTCCAGCTCAGCAGCAGTCAGAGATGACCTGGAGTTCCTGGTCCACCTCAATTCCTTGTGCAGAACTCTCTTATAGTGTGAGTCCCACGCTCACAGCCATACTGTAATGTAGCCTTACTCAAGAGCTTCGTGGACACTGTTTAACCTGAGATTGTTAGGTCCTCAGAAGGGGATTGGTGGCCAGAGGAGGGGTTCCTACTCACCAATATGTGTCTAAGTGTTTTCACAGTGTAACAGCAATATGTGTGCTTAATAACCAAAGCCCTGCTCCCTTATGCTTGGCAGCTTCGAGAAAAATACGGAGATGTGTTCACAGTGCACCCGGGACCGAGGCCCGTGGTCATGCTGTGTGGGACAGAGGCCATAAGGGAAGCTCTGGTGGACCAAGCTGAGGCTTTCTCTGGCCGGGGGACAATTGCAGTGGTTAAACCTACCTAGGTAGAATGGAGAATGGGCACAGAGACAGAGGAGAATCCACCAGAACGGAGGACAAGGGCGGGGAAAGGTCCCAGGTTTCTTTGACCGTCTTCTGTAACTCACCCATGCTTCCCCTACTTTCTTAGGTGTGATCTTTGCCAATGGGGACCACTGGAAGGCCCTCCGGCGATTCTCTCTGGCCACCATGAGAGACTTTGGCATGGGGAAGAGGAGTGTGGAAGAGAGGATTCAGGAGGAGGCCCAGTGTTTGGCAGAAGAGCTGCGGAAATCCCAGGGTGAGTCCCAGAGAAAGGGCGATAAGGAAGGAACATGAGTGCACAGCCAAAGAATGGGTTAGAGACACTTGGCCAGAGAAAGATACACAACACACACAGACACAGATACAGACACATAGACACACCCCATACAGACACACACACACACATACACACACACACACACACACACACACTGGGGAGAGGATGGGGGGAGAGAAAAAGGAAAAGACAGAGAAAAAGATACAAAGTTGACAGTATCCAAGAATAACTCAGAGACAAAGACTGAATGATTCGCATGCTGGCTACATACAGCCAGGGAAATCAATGCCTGGGTTAAGAATAGGTGTCAGTCTGGCATGATGGCACAAGCCTGTCATCCCAGTACTCTGGGGGCTGAGACAGGAGGGTCATAAATTCAAAGCTAGTTTGGCTACATCATGAAATCTTGACTCAAAGATAAAAAGTGCTTGATGCTGTGGTGCAACGGAGGCATGCTGAGCTTGCCCGGCACACACACACTTCCCAGGCTGGTGCCTAGCACCACAATGTTAGCATGGTGACGCATGCTGATCATCATGGTGCAGGTGAAGTAGAGGCAGGAGTTTAGATGCTGAGTCATCCTTGACTTTATATGGAATACAAGGCCATCTTGATGACATTAAATAGTCTCAAAACATTGTCTATGTCCAAGGCAAGATTAGGAAGCAATGACTGCGTGTTTTTCTAGTGGGTGTCCTGATGGTGTTTTACTTTGTGGCAGTCAAAAGCAGTTCTGGGCACTTATAAAAACTACTTAAGAGGGGTACACTAGTGACCAAGTTTGTTTTTGGTACCTCATTCCCCCATGTTTGTGTTTTTTTGTTTTTGTTTTTGTTTGGTTTGGTTTTTCGAGACAGGGTTTCT